CTTTGTCCAAAACTGAGGAATCTCACAGATCAAGGTGTGGAGAAACATCCTGATGATGCCTTTTGTTAATGTGTTCATGAACTTGCTTGGTTAATGTCATAGAAAAAGTCATATAAACCCCTAGACAAAATCTTTTACCTGAACCTATATACTTACCAATGATAATGCTTTTCAAAGGCTGAAGCCTAAATTAAAATATTAAAAGAAGAAGTGGGTAGATCAGAGTTCTTGGTAGCTGTTCATCTGCTGACTGGGACAACTTTTTTTATCTTTATTAAAACTACTAATACATTTTAAGGCAGGGAAGGCTTTTGTGTCTTTTGTCCTTTCTTCTAATTTTGATTTTTTGTCTTTATGTGCACAACTACTCTTCTGCTAACTTGAGAGCTACTCTAGCTTATGCCATTCATCACAAGAACATCTCAGAGGGACTTGGAAATGTTTCAAGTTTTAACAATCAGAGACTTAACCTGTTTTTTCTCATGTAAGTTACCTGCCTAGACACACTAGGAAGACAAACACTGAATAACAGTAGTTGAATAATAATAGTAACGAGGAATTTTGCATGAGAAATAAAAACCTGGTAAAATCAGGTCTTTTGTTGTAGATTGCCGAGATACTTTACCAGTCTAAGAAAAAGAGTGTCGACATTTGTCAGGCTATCCTCCATAAATTAGAATTGCTGTACAAAGAAAGTGCAGCCTTGGCTGCTGTAAGTATCCCCGCAACATTTGCTATTTTGTTTTTTTATTTTCCTTGAAATACAAGGGGATAGTTGGGGGTACATTGGTAGTACGTAAAATCTCTGTTTTCTTAGTTGAGCTTTTTGTTCTATTATCATTACAAATCTTTTTATCTTGACCCTAATCACATTTTCTGGCTTGCTTGTCAATTTGACAGATAAATCAGGGGGAAAAAAAAAAAAAGAAAAAATGCTTTGATTGTTTGTGTTGTGTTGTTTGTTGGTTTGGGGTTTTTTTATGAAGTTGCTGCTTTAGAGTGGTGTAAGATTTACAGCCTAGGAAACTAAAGCATCAGTACAGATTTTCGCAAACTGTTTCGATAGTATGCTTTATCCCTGACCTGGAAAAGCCACCTCTGCATGTGAGAGGATAGTTCATTCTCCATAGCGCATTCAGTCCTTGTCCTTTTTGCTAGGACTGCCATCAAGATTGCTAATTATAGTAATAGGTTTGTGACGTGGGTACTTTTCCTCTGAAAACTGGTCAAATTAATTTGATACAGGCCATAAAGCAGCCATTAGCGGGTACCAAGTTTCAGCCACCATCAGTTTGGCTTAAGTAGTGGCTGAACAGTGCAGTAGTGCTTTTCCCTCGCATGCTGCTTCATTTTTTAATGTTCTTGTTGTAGCCAAAAAAAGCTCCTGAACTGTTTTGTATTTCCAGTGGGTTTCAGACCCTTTTCTGCTGAAACCGAGTTGCCTGTTTTCAGTTGCAAGAAACTAAACCTGCATGAGTTAAATAACCCAGCACAAAATAATGTTAAGAGTGGGCTTTACACAGCCTTAAATATGTCGTTTGGTTATTTGGTTTTTTACAAAAAAAACATTGAAGGTATGGCTTGGACAGAAGTAGAGAGTAAAGCGCATTTTTCAAATTTACAAAATAATTTCAGCTGTTGGTACTGTAGCATCTTCCCTTGAAAGACAGACATAAAAATATTATAGCTTTAAAAGTTCTTATTTTGCCGGAAGAAAAGTGGTTTTGGAAATAAGTGGTTTATGTCCACTAATTTAATATCATGGGAAAGGGAACAAGAGGAAAATATTAACAAGGTTTGTTTTTTTTTCATGTTGGCACGCAACGTGATACTGGCGATTTAAAAGACGTTTTGTGGTATGGTATTTTTACACTTACGTCTATTTTGTTTAAAGGAAACTTCATAAAGACTGAGATCTTCAGATTTCTGTTGCTATCGCTTTTCTGGGTGTCCTAGCAGTGCTTTCCTTTAAATGGAAATGCAACCAGCCCTTACTTCATGGTGCCTTCGGTATTTCTTTCTGGTCTGACCACTAAGTCCAAGAGTCACGTCCTCAATCATACCTGAAAAAATTATGGTTCCTCACCCCCTGACTATATACAGATACATGCATACACACATCTTCACCTTTCTGAGAAATGTTTTGCAGTATCAGTGGATTTTTCTGTGTTTCACACTCAGGAATTGTGTTTGGATTACAAGAATTTGTATCACTAGCTGATGGTATTTCTATATTCTGTATAGTAGATTCACTACTATCATTAGCATTGGAATTCAAAATAGCTGATTCTGATTCAGAATCAGGCTGATTCTGACATCAGTGTTAATGATGTAGTAACGCTGACTCTGAGCGGAATTGTCTCTGATTCCCTGATATGCGGGGGCACGTCTGCTTTACAGGTGCAAGTGCAGATGTTTGATTGCAGCTCATGCAAATTTGTGGAAGCATTAAATGGATAATGGTGTAGACATGGTAGCCCAGAGTTGGCTACCAAAACAGTTTCAGAGGTTGCAGCCGGTATTGAGCTTCACGTATTCCAACTGCGCTTCCCTTACTAGTCATACATGCACTTGGCTAAAGGTAGCGTGGATAAATATACACAGCTTGTAGTTGCATCTCTCCCGCTAGTGTGCATAGATCCTGAGTGAGATCGGAATGAGTCCTGTTGGTATTTATTTTATAGAAGATGTCCTGCTGGTATTTATTTTGTAGAAATTGTCTTCAGTTTACGTGGTTATTTCCCCACAGGAATAAGGATTTTCCTGTACCTTTTGAAAATGTATGGCAAAGCTGATTTTGAAAATCTTGTGTGTAAATTAATGACTGGCCTTTGCATAATTATCTTGTCTTCAGGAATGCAACTGTACTGAAGCTGAAGCTAGAGACGAAGAGCAGCCCCGGTGCTAGGTCAGGAAAACGGAGCAAGACGGGCTTGTGGCTGGATGTGGGGCCCTTAGCTCACTCCTCCTAAGAGCACACATGCCGGTCACGTTGCACCACTGCTCATGCTCCTGGCAACTCATCGATTCCGTATTTTGCCCCGCGTTACGGTTTCCGAGCTTTTACCTACCCACACAAACTCCCTTGTGCCTACGGTAGGCGCGCACGGCAAATGCTGTATTTTGGACACTCAGCGGGAACCTGACAGTACCATGAGAGGGTTTGGGGTTTTTTTCCGGGAGGAGGCACCTGTGCTGCCTTCCAAACCGCATGTGTGAGGTGTAGTAAATACGTGGGTTAAAAAAATCGTAATTCAAATCCCAACAGTGGTACTGATCGGGTCTCTGTTTCTGTAGCAATGAGAACCAAAGGTGGCCTTTTAAGGCTGACGGTTCATCTACCAATTTCCAGTTCTGCTTCAGGATTCTTAAAGTATTAGAGTGCGTGCTTTAAACCCACAAAACTTACCTTTACCTAATTTTCACCATTCTAACCTAAGTTTCCACGGAAACAGGGTTGAAAAAGCCGCCGGTAGCCAGCAGGCAGCCAGCAGCTGAGAGTGAGAACTCTCCTTTGTCACTTGCCACTACTGGCTGCCTGCTGCGCGCCAGTGTGCAAAGCTACCTAGGCCTCTAAGATCTGGAATACTTTCCATTTGAGGGGGAAAAATTAAATTAATCTACTCTTTTCTCTCTTTGGATTGTCACAGTAAATTCCAGGAGGGCAAATGGGCTAATGAGTCCCGATCTGTTCGGTTACGCTGAACACAATCAAAGCTTTCCCAACCGGCTGGGCCTCTCCTTTCGTAATTTCCACGTTTTAAAAGCATCCCCTCACAAATTTTCTGTCTGCGCACGTGTACGTGCATGTTGTGGTACCGCAATTCTTTATATCTATCTATCTACGTATTTACGAGCCCTTTTTGCGGATGGTGTAGCCGATGTATAACATTTCCTTTTGTCCTGTATAGTTAGGGAACGTTTCTGAATGAACACATTATAACTGATCCGCAGTTAAATATTAGGAGTAGGATGTGAATGGAGATGGCTTTTAACCAGAAGTAGATTATAGCTGCGGGAAGACTAAAGGGTCTATTTGGTCAAGACTCGTACAAAACTGAGATAAGCATGCACAACCTGACAAGATCAGATTAGACCCTTCCCCCCCGAGTGCTTTTCCCATAAATATTTATCTGCTTTCTATTATAAATAACCAGGAAATGAAAAAGAAGGGTAGATTCTTTTTTTTAAAATAGCCTAGAAATAGAAATGCAGCGTCAAATCTTCAGGGTAATGATATTTTAAGTATGCAGTAAATTCCGAAACTAGTTGCTGTTTCTTAAATGGGAGCAAAGTACTGAAATTCTTCGTGGCGGCTACATAAATGGGCAGCGTTTATAAACAAAGAAGAACTTTGGACATATGTGCATTTTTGCCTACTATTGGGCACCTTAGCATTAAATAACTTATCACCTATGAGAGAATAAATGTTGACAGAGTCAGCACTGCTGTGTTTTTAAGCTTGCCTGAGGCAGCATAGCTGGCATTGAAGTTAAGCTTGGCATTTTTTCACCCTGTCCCCCCTCCCTCCACCCCAAGTGAGTGCTCACTTCATCAATGAGAAGCACAACCGACTTGCCTGCCAGATGTAAGGGAGATCCACATCCACTCACATCTATTCCGCGAATTTGTGTTTCGTTCAGGCTGTCGATACTTTGACTCCGCTTCCTCGTGCAGTGGTGTTAAGGGGTAAAAATCTGAAGCGATACATGTGCCACTAATTCAGAAATGCGTATGCGTTGGTGATCCACTCATCAGAACCTGTGTGGATTGCCTTTCTGTTATGATAAAAAATAGCTCTTTAGCCTTGAGATTTAACACCTTAAAAATGTACAGAATAACATTTTTACGTTCATCTTTGAAAGTAACAAGTGTGTACTTTTTAAAAGACTTCTGTGTCACATAAGAATAATATTAATACTTTAAAAATCTCAAGATGAAAAATGTAAGTCCCTTTTTCTTTTCTTCTCTTGTTTTTTTTTAATCTTTTTTTCCTCTAGCATTTTACGATGGGATAATGAGACAGATGTCTCTCAACTGGAAGGACATTTTGACATTGTTATGTGTGCTGACTGGTAAGTACATAAAAATCATAAAACTCATGTTAGAAAAATAGCTTTGCTGGAGTAATTGTACTGTGCTGCTTGCTGATGGCTAAGCAAAGTCAACAAATGAAGCACAAAGCCACCTTAACCTCAACAAATTAATATTCATCTCCATGTGACAGTTATAAGGTAGTCTTCTATCACACAGTAACTTCTACCACATTATTTCCCAAAGATTGATTTTGAGAAGCATTTCCATTTTCTGGAATTGCCTCTGTTTCATGCTTCACGTATCAGTAAATGGACGACTTAGGCAAATTGCAAATAATTATGGCTCAGTGAGGAACAGTCTGGAGAAAAGGGAGTTTATCAACACAAACAGCTCAATTAGCTTACTTCTTAGGAAAGATCTGACTATTGATATAAGGGGATATATTTTTTTGCTCCCTGGAAAATCTTTCCGAGGAAAAAAAGATTTTCAAAACCTTTTTTCTTCCCCCATCACACTCTGTTTCTTAAATCATTTTGACAGCAATATTTGTAGGCATAGGTTTTGTGTTATTTACACAGGCGCATGTTAATTGTAAGAGAACACTTAGTAAAAAAATACAGTACAGCACTTAATTTATAAAAAGGTAGATACATGTTACAGTATGGTATATATGCAAATAGATTTGATTATTGACACAACCTTTTTCTGATACTGGATTTGCAGAGTTGTGCTGTGCTATATTTGCTGCATGCAGGGTACATTAGTAATTGTTTGTGTTATATAAACGGAGACAGTGTAAAAAGAGACATGCAAATTTCATTTAGGAGAGTAGATATTTTTAAATTAATCTGTCTTTCCTTCAGGGATATTTGCTCTTGACCCTTCAAATGTCCAAAGCAGAAAAAGCTGTTTATGTTTTGTTGCACATAGTTGCTGTGAGACACCAAATTCTCAAAAAAGGGACTTCCTAGGACAGCTCAGTTCAGCAGATTTCTGTAGCTCACTTAAGAAATAGTTAAAGCAAAAACGCAAAGGGAAGTACGAAGCTGTCTATTGTCTTTTTAAACAATGTTCTTTTTAAGTGACTTCTGATAAAATATTCCTCTACAGCCTTTTTTTTTTTTTTTTTTTTTTGCGCTTTGCTATTTAAGCAAACTCTTCTTATTTCAGAAAAGTTACTGGTTTTGTGTAGCACTGGAGAAAGTGTGTTTAGTCATCTCTTTTTCCTTTTTCTAATACCCATTTATTGACAGAATGCAACAGTGCTTCATTTCTCTTAGCATTCAATTTCAGAAAAGTTCTTTGTGCCCAAAAAGGACAGAAAAGGGTTTCTAACTAATCGCTGATAATGTGCCTCAGCGATGCATCATCTGATTAAAATAAGGAGCTAAACACCACCATATGATTTCAGCAAGTAATTTAGTAAATGCCTTCCTCACCAAATATTGGAATGGATACTCCAGGTTTCATTGCACAGATGAAGTTAATGCTGGACAGGATTAGATCAGATTAAGTACGAAAGTCAGATCAGAGTGCTGGCGGACATGAGCAGGAGGGCAGCAGTCTTCTCGGAGGCTTAGACAAGGCTCACATATGGATGTTCTCCAGATTATGTGGGTGAAGCAAGGTCTTGCCAAGAGATTTAGAGTTAAATTTGTTCTTCACACAAATATCAAAACAACCTGGCTGTGCCATCTCTTGTATTCTTGATACTCACACCATGTCATCCTATTTGTGCTGTGAGTACGGCGGAGTGGAACAAGATTTACGTTGTTTTTTTCAGTAATATTCTTGCCTAATGCTCCTCCCAGTCTGTTTGGAAATAGTGTAGTTTCTTTAGGAAACAAAGAATCAAACATGACAGGTAAAATACATAATGCATTTGCAATCCCTGCGTTCTGTACATTTATTTTGAAGCAGTTAAGATGCAGGTAAGTGTATAAATATTTATAGATTTCTAAAAAAATAAATAGGAATGTGCAGGTTAGTTTAAAGTACGTGTTTTTATTCACAAATTCTCTCTATTTTCTCATTGTAAGTGCCTATATATATAGTTTAATAATCATGAAAATCCCTTTATTGTTTGTTTCTTTTAGAAATCATTCTTTTAGTTATGGACGCTAGGTTTTCTGGTACATGACAAGGCTGGGGGGAAAAACGTTCCATGCTTTATCAAACTTGAATCTTCTTTTCATTTTCATGTATTTCTCTTCCAAGATATAGAATCAGCTTGAGAACTGTTGTCAGGATTTTTGCTCTCTGAATTTTTTGGGCTGCCATTGAAGAGGGGAAAAAAACCCCTCTTTTCTTATGGCTCCTCGGCTGAAGCCTGAAGTATGCAGCGATAAAAACAGATGGAATAGATTGCATTTAGTTTAACACCATCATATAGCTCATTGTCAGTCAATAAAATCTGGGATTAGAACAGAGAACTAGAAAGCAAAAAATCTGAGTTCAAATATTAGGCACATGGATAAATTTTTATTGAAGTATTTCCAGCAAGGGTGATATTGTCTGATTCTCTGAATAGCTAACCAGTGGTACTGCTTGATCCCATTTACATGAAAACAAGCTCTATTCATAAACATATTCCAAATCCACATGGAGGTTCAAGGAAAAATGTACATGATTACAGCAAGCAGCGATATGTTTATATTCGTATATTTACAGTCAGACTTCCATAAACCTTGTGTGCAGGGGTGGAAAATAAGTTATTTCCCAGAACAGACAGTCTATTAGTTAACAGCTAAATTTAGTAGCTCAACTAGATTATAAAATAAATAAGAGGCAAACTGTGAAAGCTAGTCATTATTTAACCATTCAGGATTTTGACAATAAAAATAGTTTCATGGTCCAGCAGTTCCGAAATAACTTGTAAAATGTCAACTATGAGATAAAAATAATGAAAAAAAAATCTTGGTGAGGCCACACCTGGAAGAAGGATACACTGGGGAAAAAAAAAATTAAATAATGGAATTTTTAAAGCATATCCAGGCACTTCACAAGTTTTTAATCCAAGGAGAGAGTCAAGGGGCTGAACCAATAGGAAAACCTTTGTCTTTCACATTCCTGTGAAACAATTTTTCACAAATAACTTTAGTGCACTTCACATTTTCAAGGGGGAATTTTAAGGCCAGGTGAGGGCTGCCAGAATTTTCAACTTTCATTTGACCTACACTTGTGGATATAAAGTCATGCAGGTGCTGGAAGTGGAAGAGTGAGTATGAACAGAGGAGGAGAAATCACAGGTGCCTGTATGGACAGGCTGAAACCAAGACTCTTCCAAAGCTCTTAAGAGCCTCAGGTTTCTGATTATTTAAAAGGAAGTGTGTATCCTTGTCTCTATTAAGAAAAAAGTCGCTGAAATTTTTAATCCAAGGAGAGAGTCAAGCGGCTGAACCAATAGGAAAACCTTTGTCTTTCACATTCCTGTGAAACAATTTTTCACAAATAACTTTAGTGTAGGAATGCAGTAAGATCTCTGTCCTTCTTAAATTTAAATTTATTGTTCATTTTAAGTCTGATTTCTTGCACATACTTTCAAGTGCATTGGGATCTGACGACATGGAAGTAAGGGTTTTGTCAGTTTTTGTCAGCCGTGTAGTTGGAGGCAAAAAAAAGATAAATGGCTCTATACAGTAGGCGTTATACATGAACGTAATCATGTCCAAAGTACACCTGTAAACAAGCTCTTTTACCAATTGCAAACTATGCAAAAAGAAAAATAAGTTCACAGCATAGCCTATAAAATATAAGTATACGCCCCTTTGTTGCAAGGCAGAAGAGAAAATGGTATCAGCGTGAAGCAAACCGAGAATCTACTTGGGTTTTTTTTAATTTGTTTCTTTGTGGCTTACTGTTACTTCCATACAGTTTTGGTATAAACTTGCATTTAGGTTTTAATGGTAATTTAAAATTTAAAAAAAAAAAAAAAAAAAAGAGGAAGAAGAGAGAGGTGACAAGATTGCCTGCTTGTTCACCCAGATTTCACAGGTTAAGGGCGCTGCCCAAACAAAGGTCCAGTCATAACCTGTGTTCTTGCCTCTCTACTGCTGTGCTCCGAAACTTCCCTGCTGACCCGAGAAACCTTCGTTACTCCTGTGCTGAGCTACTGCTTCCGCAGCGTCCTTACGACACAAACATGAGCCGTTAGCACTAAAGTCATGGTGAGCTAAGCCAAATTTGAACCGAGGTATGAGAACCGAGTGAGAATGGTTTAGAACAACACAGTATTTAATTTCACTGAGCTGCTGTGAGCCTCGAAGGATTCTCTCGGGTACATTTTCAGTATGCTGTGGTAGTATTTAGTCATACAAATTCTACTGGTAAGAGAAATTGTGTGACTAAACTCAGTCTCCTTGTGTGGGCCAAATCCTGTGCTGGCCCTGTCTGCAGCACAGATTATCTCACGACTTCTTCAGGTTTTTCCTCATTCAAGGCATCTTGCGACTCAGAGGGAGGACAGAGATGTTCCCTGGAGCTGCTGCATTGCATTAACCTTGCTTCCAGCCTTCGCTGCTCCCTCTGGTCAGAGGATGTGGCTCACAGAGCAACAGATTGGAAATTGCAATGTTGGAGACTATTTTCAATTGAAGTCGGTCCTGTACCCAGGGACAGACCTTGGGGAGGACAGGGACAGCGTGGGAGCAGAGCCCGGGCAACTGTCCCAGGTTATCTGGGTTTCCCAAGCTAAGAGGGCTAAGAGTCTACCTCCCATACCACCCGAATATCAGGTGGGAGTCAGACAGAAAAGGTATTATTGAAGTTGTCTAAGCTGTTGGCAGGTCATCTAACCATTTTAATGGTTCAGACAGTTTCTGGTGAACAAAGGCCTGTAGTTCTCTCACTGTAAAGGAATGAGATTGGTAGCAGCAGTTGTGCCCCTATCGCATTGTAAAAAAAGAGAATGGTATGCAGGTCTGTGAAAAAGGAATTTTAGCACTGGTAAGCTGCCCCAAAATTGTGTTTCTACTACAATGCTTTCCAAATTAAAAATATAAGTGCATTTTTCATTGGGAATGTACTTCTGTCTACATAGGAACTCAGCAAGTCTTAAATGTTTGCGATGTTTCATGTTGAAGAAAATTAATTATTTTTAGCGATTCTTTTAGGAGAGAACTCACGCATTGTATTCCACCTCTTCTGCAGGTGGCTACGTTCCCAGTGAAGTAGTGTCTCATGGTATCTACCTGCATAGGGATCTACCTGAGGTGAATGTGATGAAAACTCCCAGGAGTCATTAGAGATACCAGCTGCTGTTTCAATGAATTAAATTTAAACAAGCATTTTTTCAGTAAGGTTCTTCCAGTAAAATTAATCAAGGCTGAGGCACAGCCATCATGCCAGTTGCTAAATTTTAAGTTTTCTTATGGGCAGTCTGTCGGAGAAATCATTAGCTAGTACTTTGATACCTTAAGAAGAAATTCAAAAGGTCGTGCTTCTGTATGAAATGTTCTTTAAGAAATGTTGGATACCTAGGCTACCATATTTTCTTAACAATGTGAGATTCTGCCAGTTTTTACTGATGAAATTTCATCACTGACAAGTTTTCTGGTAGGCTATTTTTTTTTCCCTGAGTAGCAAAAATTCACAGCTCTTACACAACTGCTTGACCCTATGATATGTAATATTGTATTCTTCTTGGTAGCTGTGGAGTGTCCTTACCTAAATATCCGCACATACTCTGTTCTTGATGACTGGCATGTATTTGGTAGACCACTTTTCTTCTCTTCAGTGTTTTCATATATTCTTTTAGAAATTACAAACCTGGAGAAAAATTACCCGCATATCTTCAGAAAGAGATGTCTGGGAATAAAAGAAAGGGGAATATAGAAAAGAATCATAAAGAACGGACAAAACATCGTGTAGTGTGGAACTTGAGCTTGACACAGGCTGGGAAGCAGTTTTATTACAGAGAAAGCATGAAAAATAATGGAGAAAGAACCACATTATTTGTGGTTTGCCTGATAGAGTTTCTTATCTGAATCACCAATATAAATGCAGCCCTTGGCAGCCCGTGGTAGTAAGGACTGAAAGGCATCAGTTGCTACCCGACGGTTGTTCGTTAACCGTTGTAAATGCACCCCCATCCACGGTAACTACATGTCCACAAATATCTAGTCAAGAGTGATCGGCACCCTGGTTGCCACTGTTAGTGTATACGTTAAGGTACTGAGGGGCATGAAGAATGAAGTATCCCCTCAAATCATGAGGTAATCATGCCAAAATAGGGCTGAGCATGTTGGCAACATCGCATGGGAAAATTGACTCTGCTGCTATCCTTGCGGGACCCATGCTGGAGATGAAGGATTTCACTCTTGAGAGAGGACAACTCTGTATGATCTGGGTCATTGTATTTGAACGGTGTTTGAGGGAGAGAGGAGGTAGGGATATATATATTTATTATAGATATATAATTTATGTATTACATAAATATATCCCTATATTTATAGGGATAGGTAGAGATAGATACATCAATAGAACAAGTATGCATAATAGATAATAATGCATCCATGCCATAACTGTGAATGTATAAGGAAAAAAAATACCTTTCATAGTAACACCTGAAATACAACAGAAAATACTATTAAAAAATCCACCAGCCCCCCCTTATATAAAAAAACATGTAAAAAGTTAACTTTGTATATTGATCCTGATTTCTGATATGATGGTATTTTAATAGCTAGCATATGTGATCTGTGAACTTCAGCTGTATAAAGATCTGTTTCATGCTGATATTTTAGCTTTGGTTTAGATTCTATTTGGTTTTATGTATTTTTTGACGTTTAAAAGTACCTGAACTGGACAGAAATGTAGACCACAGTTTCTCTTTTACGGCGTTGTGTAAACATGTGTAATTAGCCTTGTACTTATCTGCATTAGTATCATTAGAATTGAAAACCCATTTTAATCTGGATTCTGTTCTCTTCTCAATGTCAGCCTGTTTCTGGACCGGTACAGAGCTAGCCTTGTTGATGCAATAAAGAGATTACTCCAACCCAGTGTAAGTATGTTTCTATTTTCTCCTGAACACTGGCTTCAGAATAATTAGTCTGTGCACAATGATTGAGAGAGTAATGGAATGGCAGGATTAATGTCATGTAATACTTTAATACTTATTATGTCCAACTTCAATTGAGTCTTCTAATCTATCAGATTCTTTCCTAATCATAAACTAGGAAACTTCTTATACTTGGCCTTCTGATAAGGAACACAGTGGGTAGTAAAATAAATGAAACCGCTTCAAAGATAGCGTGAGATTATTTTTATCAAAGCGTTTCTCAAGTATTTTCCTTTGATAATAATGTCTTCATATTAAAGTAAAAGTACGATATTGCAAGTTTTTATGTTGGCTTCTGTCATTTGTAATCCCTTCAATTGTAACCTTTGTCATTGCGTATTTATTTATTAGGAAAGAATATTTTTTCTTTTCATTTCTGTTTATATAAAATGAACAAAACCTTTATGCATATATTGTAGCCTAAAACTTTTTTTCCATTAAATAAGCCCTGTGTTTACATGTTTTATACCTTAGAACATAATGAAATTAAGCTCTTCATAAAATGCTTACATGTTCTACATGAGTGTCACTGAGGAAATATTTCACTGATCTCAATCTATTAGGCTGTTAAATCAGAGAGACCTACGGGCCAAAAAAAAAAAAAAGCTGTTGTATGCATATACTTATACCCAACAAATAATCTTGAATCTCAAAAATAAATTTAAAAAGAAGATATCAAAATGAGAATATGAGAAAACATGTGAAGTAATTGCTGTAAGTGGGAGTTTGAATCAGGAATTTTATCTTTCATGCTTAACGTACACATCTTCCAGTAAGGTAAATTTTCCATTTCAAAACACAAGTTTTTCATGTTAGCAATGCATTCTCCAAACATTATTTTTAAATTGTATTGCCCTTTTTGTGCAAGAGATTTTCTCTGTAAACGGAATAGAAGACCCAAACGTGCAAAGGCTTAAGAGACCAAGCCATTTTAGTCATGTAAGTAATCCCATTCTTTGCTAAGAGTGATCAGGTTTCTATTCTTGGTTCTATCATAGACTTTCCTGAGTGACCTGAGGCAAGTTACTTAAGACTGAATTATTTTAATGAGCTGTGGGGCAAGGCTGCCAGGAAGACAGGAGAAATGTAGCCACCCTGAGGAAAAGATTACCCAGATATCTCTGTCAGTGGCAACAAGGAGAGGTTAAGCAGCTCCTGCTCAGAGTGATGCATTCTGACTTTCATGAGGTACCATCAGTTATCAGGGTGCAAAAATTTTTGGGACCAGAGGTGATCTGAAACACAAAGCTGATCCCAATTTTTAAAAATGCAAAAAGTATGGTTTTTTTCAGCCCAGATCAATGTTGGCACCTCGTTCTTCAGGTAGCCCCACAGGCCACTGTACTAGCTCCATGGAAGGACGCTGGAGGAGAACCGTATGAGTGGCAGGAAGAGAAGTGTATAAGAGGTACCCTGGTGCCTGCGACCTGGCTAAAGCCACTAGCTGGAGTGGAAGAATAGCTGTTAGTTGCTTTGTCTCCTACTCATAGCTAATCATGGTCTGGTGGTCTAGATTGCCAAAAACATGAGTACACACGTACATTTGTATATGCACACCCACACGCATTCTTCACCTGGTCTGATTAGCCCAGCCAGAGAATTCGATTTTAAAAAACAATGATGATAAGGCAGCCTGAATTTTCAGTAGTGTTCATAGCTCAAGCTCCCATCTATAGACAATTTAGGAATTGTTAACCTGACTTTAAACCAAAACTGGCCTGACTTTATTGCTTATTAACTCCAGTCAGCTAATTCAAATTCAGAACACGCCTTTGTTTTTCAAAGCAGATGAACTGCAGTCTTTTGTGAATGTAGACGGAGTAAAGGGAAACGGCTTTTTGTTTCCTGTCTTCCTAGTCTGGCTTGCTTCTGCACATCGTGATTAATAGCATAGCCTGTACTTATTTGCTCTGCATTTTAGGCCATGGTTCCTATCTCTTATCGGCAAAGGTAGCTTGAGAAATTCTTGGTCCTTGCAGGAATTTCTGTTGCACAGTTTTGGACCACTGTCCGAACTGTATTTTTTAACTGAAGTCATTTGCCTAATCCACTTTATGGATGGTCAGATAGATGGATATCCAGTTATGGCATGGCCTTGCAAATTATTGTAATCCCTAACTAACAGGACAGCAAACTACTGTGTGGTGGAAGCTGGGAGTAGACACCTTAAATGAGGTCTCTCATCCAAAAAGGACATGTTGAACAGAGATACCTTCAAGCATATGCTTTCATGGTTTGAAAGACCCAAGTAAAAGCATATACTCATTTGAGATCCCAAGAGAAAATGCAAGCACAAATACATAATAGCTATTATTTTTACTGTTCTTTTCACCTGTATAAATCCAAGGCTAACATCAGAGGAAACGTCACTAAATGGCACTATACTTTGTCCTTCAAAGGAAAAACAAATTAATAGTGAACTCATTTGCCAGTTGCAATAATTAAGAACAGTTTATGGGCATTAGTTTATGCCCAAGCTAAGGCATAAACTACTTTGGTTAAATTCACTCTTCTACATGAATTATTTTGTCTCAAGTTTAGAAGTTAAATTTCCTTATTTGTAATACTTTGCCAGATTTATAGAGGAATGATCTCAAATTGAAGACATACCTAGATGCAGGACATCTTTCAACTGTAACTAGGATACAACCAGGATAGAAGAGTTCAGGGAAAATAATAGCCAGCAAAACCAAAAAGAAAAGTGGAGTAAACAGAAAATAATGGGTATCCTTATAAAACTGTCTTGAAGGAGAAATTCAGAACAGGTAGTTATTCTTACTCTTAGTTTAAAAAGAGATAAATTTATCTGCAGTATTTCCTTTGTCATTAAGGATGTTATTTGTGGCTATTGGAAACCTTACGGCACAGAACGATGTGTTTTGGGTAACTTTATTTTTCTGGAAACAGGATTCTGGTCATTTCAGTCATCTGATTCATAGTATAACCCCATGGACAGTTGTACTGGCACAAGAAGAGAGGACCAGAAATTCACGTAGGCAGAAATGAGCAGCTCACAGAGTTACTGGGGGCTGAAATTTCTTATCTGGATTTGTTACAAAGGCAAATGTCACCTCTAAAAAATTTCAAGAATTAGGCACTGAAATTTTACATCAAACAAATTTATCTTGAATGGCTGTATTTTATTCCTCTTATAAGCAAGCTACTTGATTTGCCAACATTTAGTTTTATTTTTTCCTATCATTAAAATGTACTTCTAATTTCAGTCTCAGAATAAGCAGTTGCTTGTTTGTACATTTCCCTAATTAAGAACATTTTTTATGAAGGCTTTGATTCTTCTGTGTCCTATCCATTCAAAATCCCAATCAAGTCAATCGGATGCTATTTAACCGTGATTAGTGCCAGCAAATAAGACTGCATCTAATAATGACGGATGAGTAAACTTAGTCATAGTCATGTCCAGAATGTGAACATCTGTCCCATTGTCTTACTGCAGCATTTTAGTGACACTTCAAACTATTGTAACTGACATTTTCCTCTGTATTTTGTTCACGAGTTCACTGGAAGTATTCTCCCGGCTGGGGAGAGGCCATTCTGAACTTTAAACATCATCCTAAACTTTTGAATTACAAACTTTGAATTAAACATCCTTGGGATAGTCTATCAAGTGTAGATCCAGGCCACTGGTCTACTTTTTTTATTGTACAGCAAGCAAGAAATAAAAAAAACTTTTAAAATGGGAAATGTGAACGCTGTTCTACAACAGCTAGCAGAATCACAGACATCGGGCAGTTGACAAGGAAGTGCTTTAAACCCAGGTTATGATAGACCAGAATTGACCACAGTAGCTCCACAGTACCTGCTAGTTTTGAGGAGATTATTGTTGTATTAAACTTATTCATGATTTCTTGGTTTTTATCAGCAAGGGCAAGATATTCAGGTGTTTTAGATGCACACGAAATTCAATAGGGGAATGGGTTTTTACACCAACTAAGGAGCTGACCGAAAACAACTGTGTAGTCGTTTCCATAAAAGGCCATTCCCCTTTTTCAGAGTTATTTCAAGATTTTCAGTCTGGTTTTCAGAGATATTTCATCCCATGTTACATTCTATTTTACTGTACTTCTCTTTTAAATTGAATTTGACGTAGTCTACAGAGAGTGTAAGGAATGACGGCATGTACTCCTGACTCCGCATGGAAATCTGTAAGGGAGTGCTGTTGCATGAGCACTGCTTCCTCACCAAAGCTGCTGGAGCAGTGGCTGATGCAGGGCGTGTGGCCCCCAGCTGTCCCCGTTCTTGAGGTTTATCCGTTCCTGAAGTCCCTGCGTGAATCGTGTGGTCAGAAAGGCCTGGCTGGGGGGGACATGTCTCCCATTACAGTGACCTCTCTGTGAAGCCCCTCATGAAGATGAGGGACTCTAGAGGAGTCTCATCCTTCTTATGCCAGGAAGAGTCTCTGCAGGACAACATTCTGGGGAGCGTGAGATGGCAGCGGGAGGAGGAGGATCCTCAGCTGAAGGCTCCAATTGCTGCCCACTTCTGTCCGATGACATTAAAGCATGCCAAGGATGTGAGGGAACCGATTGTGAATTTCCTGTGTTTAATGTTTTTCATCCTGAGCTGAGCCTATATTCAATCCTAACATTTACACAAGCAATCCCAGTACCTTCAGTGGGAGTTACACCCCTCCGCACCTCATATTTAGCCACAGAATTATAGTTATAGTTACACAAATGAACAGAAGTGACTTGCTTTGGATATTGCCCTAGGTCTCCTTTGCGCTTAAATTTCCCATGAGAAAGGTGAGGATAACAGCATTTCCCTATCTCACAGAGGCATCGTGAGAATAAATACAGTGTTGTGGTGTTAACGACTGGAGTCTTTTAAGTACACGTTAGTACCCTAGATACTGACATAGAGGTTTTATTGCTGTCTCACTGCGCGTTGTCTCCGCGTACGTGTGCGTGAGCTGTAACACACAGATTTGTTCCCTGACACATCTCTCTGTCAGCGTTGTGATTTTCCAGAGTTCCCACTGAAATTCTCTCTTCTGATCACTTTTTCCTTGCGGTATACAAGATTGCATTTTCTCAAGCCAAATATTCTTCTACACCTTCTAATCATTTTATAACTTCTTCAGATCCCTAAAAACATTTTTTTGTCTCTTCGGTTGATTACAGCACCTCGCAAATTAGTCTTAGCTCTCATTAATACAGAAGTTAAATACAAGAACTCGCAATAAACTTTGTGGCTCCCCTCGGTGTGCTATGCTGCTGGCTGATATTAACCTTTGTTTATACTCTTCAACCAGTTTTCATTCCATGTGACAGAACACGGTATTCAGCCATTTAGAATTAATTTTGCAAATAAGATTTCAAGAGATGCTATATCAAGTAGGTTATGTTTTGGGCTAGTACTTTGCACAGAGTGTCTAAAATCTATCGGTTCAAGGTACAGTCGTTTTTGTTTTCTTAAATACAGGAGGATGAACAAAAAATCAGCTAATGGACCATAATGTATTCCCTGGGCATCATAAATAGCCTGATTGTCTTGAAAGATCCCGAATTACTATGCAAGAACATTAAGTCCTGTTTTAAATGCAATTTACCAATTTAAGGTCAAATTTGGTCGCACTGCTCACGTAGTTTAAAATATCTTTAAGAAATTAATGATCGGGTCTGATTTGCCTCCCATTTTTTTCTTGCTTTACACTGCTGTAATTCCACTGACAGCAAATGGGAGGTAGTCTTCTATGTATGAGAGTGGAAGAGGAAAATCATTATTTACAGTTTTTGCATGGTCCTGTGTTAACAAATGGATTTTGCATTGAGTGTGTGTTTTGAATGCTTTTTCTGTGTTTTATTTTGGTAATTCATAGCCACCATTATTATATGAAAAGAAGCAGATGTATGGGAGTTGGCAGTTTTCTAAAGAAAACATTTATTCATTATTTTCTGTTTTGCATTTGTTTAATCACAGAAATCTTGCATATTTTGAACAGTTATTTATATTACCCTATTTTAGTATTTTATCAAGAGAACAACTAACTTTTCCAGCTTGAGTATATTAAAAGCTTAGTCAGGTGCGTGTTATACCTGGTTCCCTTCCAGTTTTAAAAATGTGTAAATTCTCTTTTTAATGTTCCAGGGAAAAGCAATGGTATTTGCTCCACTCCGAGGGAATACTTTAAACCAGTTTTGCAATCTAGCTGAAAAAGCTGGTTTCTCTGTCCAAAGACATGAAAATTATGATGAACACATTTCGAACTTCCACTCCAAGGTTAGTTTTCTGCTTGTGTTAGATAACACTTTAATCCGCATTGCATTTTGAAGAGATCATGGTCCTTTTGGCAGGTAACCTAAATGTTTGATTAAAGTACTCCTTAGGTGTGCTGTTTCTGAACAGCTATTTTTGTATCTGATTATTTTGTGTGGTAGAACCATCCTTTATCTCTGCACGTCTAGAAGAGTTTTGCAGAAGCATCTCCTGTTTACCCTTTTCATTCATAGAAATCTAATTTATGAGAGCCTTTTCTTGTTGTTGTTAGCTGCCTATAAATACATGGCACACTAGCATTTACATTTTAATAAAAAGCTTGCAACTTTTAAGTAGGTTAAATACTGAAATGGACTGAAATAAATAGGAGGTGAATGTCTAATTGTATCATATCGTACCTTAAATCCTTATCTCTGGCTGCTTTATGGCTGGGTCAGTTGGCAGCTTCAAACTGCTAAATCTCATACAGAATTTCACAGTTGTGGGGTTATATGTCAGACCGAGGCGCTACAAGATTTAGGTCAAAAGCACTTATCTGAGCGCGATTTCTAAGCTTGCTTACATAAAGCTACTGTTATCAGTCTCCTTTTTTATTATTTATAAGTATGGAGTAATACAGGACATGAAGAGGAGGGTGCTTCACAGAAAACTTTTTAGGAGTTTCTTATTTTCCTGTGTAGAAGTGCTTATCAAAATCATATTTATTACTTGCAATTCTGAGATCTCTATTTCATACCATAAAGAAATCCACTGTTGTGGGTCCGTATGCCCTTAGACATAACCTCGTGCAATTTTCTAAGAATTGCTCTTGGAAAATATAGACATGTTCAGAATTGAAGTGAAATGCATTTTTTTCTATTTAGCACCACCATAGGATAGAAATCAGATTATACTAAAAAATATATGTGCATGATGTTGTAAGGAGCAAATGTATTTTTTATATATAGATTTTTGTGAAAATTTATACGTCGTAAAGACCGCCATTAAAACTGTCTAGAAACATGTACATAAAATCATTTAATTTCATTGTTCAGGTAGGCCTGAATCTGGTCACACTAAAACCAAATAAATTTCAGTCATCGTTCATCTACCACCTTGACTTTAAATCATATAAAATTATATAAATGTAAGGCCCAATGTGATGGGGTTTTTATTTGCCTCCACCTGAAAAAGAGCATGGGTTTGATTATGTTGTTTCATGGTAGTAGTTCTCTTTCATTATCTACTGCATCCAAATCAGCTCTGCAGCAGTGAAAAGCAGGAGTAATAGTTGTTATCTTGATCCAAGAGATGGGTCTCAAATGATAGAGTAGTTTATTTTGCTTAGAAAACAAATCTATTCTATCTTCCTCTGGTTATGTGTCCACTGCAGTCCTTATAATGGTGACCAGAGTGGAGACATATCTCAAGTAGCTTTAAATTAGCTACCTCGGGAAATGGCGATCATTTTATGGCGGTATTTTTGAGCACAAGCTGTGAAACACAAGATGAACACGTACTTGGAAAGGGTAATGCCCAGCTTCGTTAGTTTAAATCCAGTTTGGGAAATGTTTTTTCTCCACGGTAATCATAGCTGTGACAGCATTGTTTCTCGTTCCTCCTCCTCCCCCTGTCTCCTTTTGGCTTGAAGGAAAAAATATCCCAAAGACACATTACTTACACACGT